ATTTCTTAAGCATTTTAGAAAAAAAGTTAATTTTTCACACAAAAAGAAAACAAATAATTTAATATTTACTTGAAAAAAAAAATAATTAAATGATGATTATTAGTCATTAATAAAATATTTAATGTGCGAACATCTACGATAAACGTTTGTTTTATTTTTTTTCTTGTCACATCGTCACCCTAATAAAATAGAAATACAAATAAAACTCTAAAATGAAGATTCATATATGAAAATCACTTTCCATTTCTTTTATAGAATATAACTTTATTTATATATGACAAGGTTCAAAAACGTGTGAGACGTGGCGTGGCGGCAAGGTCAAACCTCAAGCCATAGACGTCACGGCGATGACGCGATGTTTTTCTCAACGCGTGACATATAAGATTGTAAATTTGTATGTCATATATAGAAATCGAATAATGATATTAGAAAATGTATATTCATATTAGAAGAAAAAAATCATGTAGGTTATTATTATAAAAATAGGTTTTTGATTAAATATTTAAAATAGAACTTAGATAGATAATTTTACAACTTCATTTTAACCGTGAATATGTAACGTTTATGATTTTGTGAAACTGTAAGTGTTGTGATTAGTTAGATCTATAAAAATGTAAAATATAAAATTAAAAGTGTAAATACATAAAAGATAAAAAATAAAAAAAATATTTTTTTTTTGCAAAAAAAATCATGTGTTACAAAATCGCGCTTAAAGACGCCATGGCGTGAACCACACCTTAGAAAAACGCTATGAGTCATTTCGTAACGACGAATTCGCATCTTGCACCATATTAAGTCATGACACGCCTTTTTGAACACTGATATATGATTATATAAATTTAAGGAAGATATTCATTTGAGAACCTATAATTTCACATTAATTTTTTTTCCTTCTACGCCTGGATTTTATGTATTAATTAACTTATATTTGTTTTACATTATGTTTATTACACTTATATTGTTTCACAATGTGAATATTTTTTTATGTGTGTGAAATAAAAAAAATACAATTAAAAGGTTTCATATTATGAATCGAATACACATGCATGAAACATATTGTGAAATAAATATATTTTAATTTATATATTAAATTATAACCTTAGATAGAAAAACTTATGTGAAATAATAACTTATAACAATAGTTGTTATAATATATGAGGTTTTCATTAATTATACTCCATAAATTTAATATATATATATATATATTATAAAATTATTAAAACAAAAATAGAAATATGCTTATTAACTTTCTTTCTTTTCTTGTTAATTTGGAAAATTTAAGGATATTTGTAAGATAAAAGAATTTTTTTTTGTAAATTTATTGGTGTTGGAGATTCTCAGGATATGTTTATAATAAGATTGTTATATTTAATTTGTTTAATTTTGTGGATTTTAATAAATATATTTATTTATTATAATTAAATTTATTGAAAAAAAATATAAAAATTTGCATTAACAATGGTCCGTAATAAATAAATATATTTTATAATTCTTAGTTTATATTTTAATGCATTATAACTTACATATTATTAAAATAAAATAAATAAGAAAGAAATAGGAATTTAAATAAGAATTTGAATTTTTGTTCAAATATCCGAGTTTTTACAAGAACTTATAACCGAACAAAAATATAGTGAAAGTTTTTGTAAACCCTGATAAAACGCCTAAAGGAGGGTGTTCGGTTTGACGAAATAGTTTTGGAGAATTTGGATTTTGTGGAAGGATTTGAAATTGAAAGGATTTAGATTTGGAAGGATTTGAAATCTTTGGTTTGTAAAATTTTGAACGGAATTAAATTCCATTTTTTAAATAAAATTTATAAAAATAAATTATAAATAATTAAATTACTTTTCTACTAATTAATTATTATAGAAACAATGTTTTTAACAAATTTAAACCATTATTATACACGATTTCTATGAAATCCTGTAAAATACCAATAATCTCCACGGGATTTCAATAAATTCCGAGAATCATAAATACTAGCAATCCATTAGACTAAACATGAAATTATAATAGAACTGAATTTCAAATCGTCACTCATCTTATCCATATCTATACTATATTATAAAGCATTTGACAAAACCTCTTAAAAGTCATTTTTATACATGAAGTACTGTTTATTGATGTATATTACTTAAAATTCAAGATTACAAGTAAATAATGTACAAGTACAACTTGTTAAAGCTCAATAATTGAATTCATGTAACTAACTACAGCTAAATATAATCAAATACTGGATAAACATTTCATTTTACATATATAAAATCTAAAATATTGATAGGATAATCATTGTCTTATAATAAAATACTTAATCATCATCTTTATAAAAAATTATATTATTAAATAAAAAATAAATTATTTTCTTATTTAACCTAAATTAAATTATAATAAAAAAATTGAATTAAAGAAATTACACAATAAAATAAGAACTTTTAAATAATTAATTTGATACTAATATCGATATGTTTTTTTTTAATTTTAAGATAGCTTCAAATTTATATTTTATTTAAAAATAAAAACATTATCGTTTTTCTCAAAACCACATAAAACCATATCATAACATTAACATAAGACAAAATAAAATAAAACATTAAAATTAAGATATATCTCGTTACATCGTACAAATACTTTTCTGATCCAAACTTACAAACCAAACCTACATAAGAAAACTCTACTAAGGATGCCATGTGAAAATAGATGTAAATTACAAAACAAAGCTTGAACATTTATTTAATACATATTATATTTATTTTAAAATAATAACAAAAAATGAAAAATATCTTTTTTCTTAATTGTGAAGTTTAATTCATCGAAAAATACACCATTAACATGAAAAATCATTCAACACGGTTTGAATTTATTTGCTTTTATCCTTTTCAGATACTAAGCCCACGCGCCCTTCCTACTTCCATCCAATAATATCCGAGCGATGACGTTTTATCCAGGATCCCACACCATTCCATTCGCTCGTATATTCCACGCGCTGACCAAGACTGTAAACATTACACCTCTCCATACTAACATACCCAAAATAGGAAAAAAAAAGTAAAATACGGCGGTTAAAACTTTTACTTTTCGACGCGCCTTCAATTGCGTATAAAAAAAAAACATCTTCTCCTATTCTCACTCGTATTTTACGCATTAAATTTTGTACGTATATAAATACATTTTTATATCTAATATTATCTTCCCATGTTGTCACCTTTTATTTGTTAAAATATTATGTAAAATTCAAACCCGAGTTATCTTCTATACTAAATATGTTATGATCTTGTATCGGTTTTTTTTTCAATTATGTTCGTGTGACGTGTTTTTGTGAATTTTGAAGACGTGCTCGTGATGTCGGGTATAATAATCACGAGACGGTGCACGTTAAAATACGTAAATTATGAATATAAAGTTGTGTATGTAAATGTATACATATACATATACATATACATATACATATACGATAAAAAAAGAATAAAGAAAAAGAGAGCGGTGGAGAGGTATGATGTGGGTCCCGTGAGTTATGTGAGAGAAGACTTCAACATCACGACAGGGGGGTTGGGGGGAGGGG